CAGCGGTAAGAAGAGCAGCAAACACAGCGCCAGCATCGCGCGGTATTGAAGACTACAATCCGTTTGCAGACCCTGTTCCTGGACAGAATAATAACAATCAAACGCAGCAAGTACGTGGTGCCTCAAATCCGCCGATGTACGGCGGTGTTGGAGCAACACCAACACCCGCAACTCTGCAACCGACCCAGGAAATCCCGCCACCAAATTACACCCGTAATCCACAGCAAACTGTGACACCAACGCTTGGAACTTTATCGCCTAATGCTGAAGTAATTTTAAATACATTTTTATTTAATTACGAATTTAAAAAGCAAAATTTTTTACTGTGTGATGAGTTTTCATCTAAAAAACAAAAAACAGAGGAAAATATAAAATATTCATTTTTGTATTTATTGATTTTTTTAGACTTCAAGGTGTTAGTCAATAATAGGGTCATATTTATTATTATTATTATTATTATTATTATTTTTAATTCAATAATCATGATAATATTAATAAATAATATATTTATTACTAAAAATAATGTAATAAAATAATAATATATAATATTACTGTACTTATATTAAAACGGAATTAAGTAAAATGATAATACATGTGGTTAATTATGTAATCTACTTACAACCATAAATACATATCATATCTTTAATGTTTTTTATGTATAATAGTTCAGTTTTTTCTCTGATAAAATAGTACAATTTTTTTTTTTATAATTGCAGTCTGAACCGAAAATAGAATCAATCTATAAGAAAATCTAAATTTTATTAGATTTATAAAGTAAACTCATTATGATTAAAAAGAAAAAAGGATATACTTAATATCTCTAAAAAAAATGAATATTTTGTTTTAAGAAAGTTTGATTTCTAAAATGAAAATTTTATCGGCCATAAATTACTACTCTCTAAAATAATTAACGATTAAAGTAAGCTTCTATTTTCTTAGATAAAAAATTTATCATCTAAGATTAAATCTTTATGTCTCAATCTTATCATAAGACTTAAGAGCTCTTTTATCATTTAATTATTATTTTGTTTTAATAGCAAAGAGCTAAAGAAGAATGGGATGCCCGAAGAGAAGAAGAATTAAGGAACCCAGCTTATTATCGTAAGAATTTTCAAAGATAAAAGCATTAAATTTTTTTAAGATATTTAGAAAGAAAAAATGATTGTTTAAAATTTTAAATTCAGCTAATTAATAAAATATTAATTTTTTTATATAGGGAGAAATAATTGGCCACCACTGCCAGAAAAATGTTGTTTCCAACCATGTTTTTACCAAGATATTGATGTTGACATTCATACAGACTTTCAAAGAGTGGTTAGACAATTATATTATCTTTGGATGTGTGAGTATTAATCTATTTTTTTTTTTAATTAAAAAAAAACTTATAATTGTCTACTAATTAAATGATTTTATGAATGTTTCAGTTCATGGACTTGTATTATTATTAAATGTGATCGGTGGTTTCGCTTTAATGCTGTGTTACAAAGAGTTCGAAACATTCGGTCTAGGTATAGTCTACCTCATACTATTTACACCGTTTTCATTCGTCTGTTGGTTCAGGCCAGCTTACAAAGCGTTCAAGAGTGATAGTTCCATTAATTTTATGGCATTTTTTTTCGTATTCTTCTTTCAACTTGTTGTAACTAGTGTCCAAGGTATTGGAATTCCTGGAGCTGGCACTTGGTAATTATAAATTAATTTGTTTAAAATTTTAAACAAAAATTTTTATTACAATATTTCTCATTTTTTTTTTTTTTTAGTATACTCTGACTGTTTAAAAATTTCATAAATTGGCGATTAAGTTCAAATTTAATTAATTAAAATTTTATATTAAATTAAAATACTTATATCATATTTTTTTTATTCATTGGAATCAAAAATCATTTAAAACAAATTTTTTATGAGTAAATTGTCTTAAAAAAAACTCATTTGCTATAAAAAAATTTTTTTTTAATTTCTACAATAATAGTATGAATAATTGATAATTTAAAACAAATAATTAAATTTTTCAGTGGAATAATAAAAGCGATAGCTTCTTTTGATGGGACTGGAAAAGGAACATTTGTTGGTATACTGATATTTATGATTGCTACTTGTTATGGTATCGCTGCTGCTGGTGATCTATTAATGTTGACAAAGGTAATTTATTAAAAATAATTATTTACTTGCAAACTTTCAGTCACTATGTGACTGCCTTGACTTGTGAACTATGAATACATAAAATTTTACTTTATTAAATAATGACTTTTGTTAAATTGCACTGTACTTTCTTAACTTTTGACATTTTTAAAGATATAAGCTCATCCCGATGCTACACTCATCAAGAGCTTTCATTTGAGTACACACATGCA